CTCAAACTCACAATCACAGCAATTCAGTGATATGCATTTGGCATGAGTCAGTTTCAGTTCTTAGTGCTTTCCATTGGAAATGGCATAAAAAGTAAGATTTCTCTGAATTTTTTATGCTGTGGGCTTACAAGGGACCAAAGATGTTCTTCAGTTGTGGCTGTCTGAGCGTGCATCGCAGCATAAATAACGAAGTGGTCATAAACCTCAGCTGCACTTCAAGGGTCATGTGTTCCGTTTAATTTTTAAACAATCTAGAAACCAACTAAGCAGTTGATAACAGGTCAGTTGCAGGTGATAAAAGAGATTTTAGATGGGACATTACTTCTCCTTCCACACCTGGCATTGCTACATTATATCCTTTGCACAGCACATTTTATATGCTGGATTGATTTTTTTCCCCCCCTCGGGCAAACAGTATAAACAATAGCTACCTGCTTGAATTGCAAAGTTATATAATGCATTTTTAAATATAATCTCCATAGGCTATAAGGTTGAGGGAATTCTCACTACAAAGTGATTGGTGTCAGAAAGAGATTCAGTTCTGAGTAACAGCTAAATTAAGGGATTGCAGTAGCAGCTCTGATAAGATGCATGTATTCGGAGTATGTCAGGTATAAGTTTTAAGGAAGTAATCATATTAAGGTATATGGACATCTGTAAAAGCCGTAAATTTTGAAAAAGGATTGTGAATTTTGAAAATACAACAATATATTGAGGAGAGGAATTGTTATATTCTTTTTTTTTAAAGTATTTCCTTCAATTATCTAGAATTGTTTTACAGTGTTGAGAAAGATTACTATGTTAATCTGTTAAACAGGTTATTACATTATTTGTCTAAAATTGCATAAATAAGACTGCTTTGAAACTCAGAATCTTAGCTTTTGACAAAACGTATACGATATTATGGGTTGTTGACCTGAGGACAGTTCTTGAAGAAATACAGAATATAGCAATTTTTATACAGTACTGTACTGAGTTTTGAAGCAAACACAGATGTACACTAAGATGTAGTTTCTATTTTGTATTGGAAGCTTCCCAATATTTTGCATCTACAGTACTTCCAGACACTACAGATACTAAATAATCTATGGTTTGAATTCCATGCGTCCCTCAAACTAATTATATTTGCAAGGTCAGAATGAATACACATTTTCAGAAAAAAAAATAAGGTTATATAAATGTGTCTTCTACTTGGCTGTTGTATTACAGTTTGTTGATCTGGAGTATAATGTGTACAATTCACAAATTTGTCTGATAACAGAAAATGGTGTGTGATTGTGTTTATTTTACTAACCAGTATATTCACAGCAATCACTTCCAAATATCTCTCCAGTAAAGATGTGTTAATTACAAAACAGACAAGGTCTTCTATTATATTAAAGCTACTAACAAGAAGACAGCAGGAATCACACATGTAAATAGCATCATCAACCCCTATTTTAGTCCTCTGTTTTGATCTGTGAGTTGCGCATAGACCAAAGGTGCTATTAAAGACTCACTGTATGAAATAGGCAGCATTATATGAACAAAATTTATTCAACAAGAAAACAGACCTTTAACATGAATTTAACAAGCCTGAGAAATTATAAACTATCATATGCTGCAGATTCATGCAGTGATAATAAACAAAAAAGGGAAAGTAAGAGGTTTCCTTAAGCTAGCCAAACCGCTAATGGTTTTGTTATAAGCTGTCTAATGTTGAAGTGACCTCTACAGAGTCTCAAGGCACTTGCACCGAGCAGAATTAAATCGTCCAGTTGGTGAAAAGAAGTGCAATACAGGATAGCACATTTTTTTTAAAAAGCCTCCCCGTTCCGAACACTTTTTAAAAACTGTTGTGTTACAGTAAACTCTTCACTCCCCTTTTTAGGGCGAGGTCTCAAGGCTGCAGTTAATTCAATTGTAAATCACCATAGTCAAAGGAAGCTGAAAGATCTAAAATACTCAAATATTTGCAAAATGGAAAGCAACATTTTTCTCTTAAATTGACCCTTACGAGATCAGTGTTGTAGCGACTTGTGTCCCTGAAGTTTCCACTGCTAACTATGAGGTTACTGTGTTGCTGTCATTGCTTCACACTGAATTTCAAGGTACACAAACCGGGAGAAAACTTGAGCTGCTGCATATATCCAAGAGCTCACCAGGGCTTTATCCTTGGGTCTTACTGTAGCATAATTAACACCTCCTTCATCCATTGCTCATTAGTGCACTGGACATTAATGAGCCTATTTATTTTGATACGATTCTCTAAAGAAAGAACTCGTTTGTTCTTGCTGTGCAAAAAAAAAGCAATTATAAGATTGCATAGAAATCAATATGTAGGGTGTGTCACTGCATTTATGCTTTTTATTGCGTCTCAGATCTAATTTTAGGTTGCAGGTTGTTGAGCATGTTAGTTTTCCTTAAGACAGTTGCTATAGTGATCACAGTGAATTCCTTTAATCTTGGTGTAGTTAAAATACTCTTTTTCATTCTGGTTATACTGATGCTGCTAAGTAAAAGAAAATATTTTTGACCAATAGTTTATAAGAAATTAGTATTACTTAATTCAGAAAAAAATCAGTTATGGTTTTAGTAAGACCTTGAAGTCACTTGCAGTCCCTAAGAAGAATAGACATCATTATATCCTCCTCTGCTGAGTAAAAATACACACCAAGAAAGGCACCTGATAGCATTGCTGCTTGATGCATAATACTGTGAGCCTTTATTCCATACAAGTGACAAAAGTAGAAATGATTCGGAATTTGGATGTATCTGAGCTCTTACAAAATTGTATGTTTTGTGTAGTTCCACAACAGACCACTAGATGGCCAAATGCATATTTCATCATGACGATCATTCAGCTATGACCTCGTAAAAATGGGCTGTTACAGTCATAGCAAAGTTATGAACTCTGATGCTTGGCCATTTATCTAGCATTCCTTGCAGTGAGCTATTGTGAAAAGTACATATGGAGCTCAAGTATGAGGAGAAGCAATTTTGTTAGAAAATACCATTGCAATCTTGGATGGGTTCCACATTTTCTAGTGGAGCAGTCAGTTAGAATATATTCTAGGAGTGTAAGTGTTAGTACTATAAAACATGAAGCACCTTGTGAATCTGATAGACTGCCAAGTAATTGTATCTTTCCCCTCAGCGTAAATCCTTTATTTGTGTCATTTCTTATCAAGTAAACCTCTAGAGGACTACAGTGTAGAATATTTAGTTTTGTTTGTGCTTACTTTTTATTTATGCTCCTTCCTTGTTGTAGTTGGGCATTTGCAGGTGTTCATAAATGAGAACATCTGGTTCAAATGCTGTTGCAAAAGTTTGGAAAACCGGTAAGAACCAATGCGACAGAGCAACACTAGGTTTAAAATGAAAAGGTAAAACCTGGTAGGGACCGCTAAAATACTGTGTATTTACTTAGTTACTTTCTTATTTATTTATTTAACCTTTCTCCTTAAAAATACCCAAAACAGCTTACAACTGTAAAAAGACAATATTTAATAGCTAAAAATAGTAAGTATACAAATATTTAAAAGAGTTAAACAAGTATTATCTTAAAACCAGTCAATTTGCACTAAAAGCACATTGCAAGATAAATCCAAGTAAGGAACTGTCTTTCTAGGCAAATGCTCAGCAATAGCACTTATTGTGTAGATCATCATGTCCATAATGTGTGTGGAGTAAGAATAATGTTTAAGGGACAGCAGCCATGGGGCAGCCTGTTGCCAGTGAGAGAGCTAGATGTGCATGGCTATCTTTGGTTTTCTCATCAGGACTATGCAAAGTATCAAGTTACTTTCTACATATGCTCATGGATCTTTTGCCAGAGTGAACTGTGTCCACTGCTTGTAGATGCATGGTTATCACAGTCCAGAAGTCTAAGCAAAAGTGTAAATTATGTTTTTAGGTTAAAGTTATGCTTTTAATTAGTGTGCTATTAGTCCTGATCCATGGTAAAAGGTATTGCATACATTCTTGCCAACCCTGTAAATTAGGTCACTGTTGTAAACCTCATGACACAGAGTGACTGAGACCTTCCCAAGAACATGCAGTAATTTGAACCGAAAGCTTCTAGACTGGCACAGCACCAGTTCGCTTTGTTTTGAGCAAAATAGGTCTATTCTAAGAAAATGGAGCCCGAGAAGTGAGGGCTAAATTGAGAAATGGATTTGTTCTATGTGAAATAATCTGCCTAGCATTATCGCCTTTAGGGAATGTTGCTGTACCTCAGGTTTTGCAAAATGATTGTAGCCGTGGAGTAATTTTTAAAGGGTCCTTAGCTCACCCTGAGTGTTTTTGTGTATACAGTTTTGGCAGTCTATAGAAATAAACCAAATTAAGTAATAAAACTCTTCACTTCCAACTGCAGAGTTTCTACATAAGTGACCTTGATTTTTGTTCAGTTCCTTTTTTGTTCTGTTTTACTCCTGACCATGACACTGACAAGGTCGTCATAATCCAAATGACAGTTTATAGCCTCTTTCCTACATGCAGGGAGTAAAAAGCATCTGACTAGAAGGGAATACATGGGGCAAGTTCCTTGCTGACTATAATTTTGTTGTCATTTCAAGTATTCCAGTGGTATAATTGATGTGACAGGACTGGGCTTTAAACATAGTCCCTTAGCTTGTGCTCACTTTCAGTTTTAGCCTTCCTGTCATTCAGTTTGACTAGGTAAAATGTAGGTGACAAACATGTTTTAAAATTTATATATCATGTGTGTTTATGTATGTAAACGTAGCCTTCAGAATTGTATAAGAGTATATAAAACTTAATATATTTTTCCTCAACTTTTTGAAAAACATAATTGGTGCTGCTTTACAATGCTAGACTGAGTTAGTCGGCTGATGACAGAGACAGCAGGGGGTTCTTCTTTATTAATATTATAATTAAATAATTTTCTGGAAAAAGGCCAAAAACAGATGTGAGTTGATCGTGACTTCTCCACTGTTACTTGGTGCAATCATTTGTATTTTCGACAAAGAATTGACTTTGGCGTCTTGTTTTTACAGGTTGTTATTGATGCCTTCAGATTGATCAATGCTAATATGATGGTCTTGGGACATGAACCAAGACAAACAACTTCAAATCTGGGTCACTTAAACAAGCCATCTATTCAGGTAAATTTGTTATTTGGCATTAATACATTTATTTTTATGTTATTTCCTTCCTCCACATACACATATACAAAGTTGCACTCTTTTTTGTCTTCATCATAAATTTAATTTCCTTAATTAGGTTTATAAAATGCATCTTCAAATATCAGTTCTTACTACAGAAATCTCGTGGTTGCTTTTAAAATTGTTAGGTGTTCACAGTCGACTTTTTTTTTGTTTCTGTTGCTGTTCCTCATTATACAGAAATAATTTCTGAGTTCCTTGAATCATTTTAGATAGATGTGTGTTAGATCAGTGGTTCTTAACCTTTTTGAAAGAAACGCCCCCTTGAGCCATTGAGGAAGTTATCATCGCCCCCCTCCCCACGGTGATGATATCTTATTTATTTAT